AGTGATAAAGACATGTGCACCGAATACCGGACCCCAGGTCCTTCGTCACAACCTGGCAAGAGAAAACTCGGTAGACCAAGACTGCGTTGGTGGGTTGTTGTCAAGGACCTCGAAACGATGGGTGTTTGACGTTGGATGCAAGAAGCACGAGATAGATTGCGATGGTGAAAGATATTTCGTAGGCTAAGCCCAAAAGGGGCTGTACAGTCATTGATGATGATAATAGAATAGAAGAAAATAGTTATGAACATTTTTAGACAACTAAATATTGATGACGCAAAGTTAACCTGAGCTGGTACTTTATTAAAGAGTTACCCAGTACCTGTGATGCAGTAGCATTGTGTTAAATCCCACCACAGAGGTATAATCATATCAATATTGATGAGAATCCAAACTATGTTTTTTATGTGAACTGTGAATCATCTTAGAGGCTACAGACGCGGAGATAATAATAAAAAAACACCATAAACAAATGTCTCCGTGTCACGTTTTGAAACGGAAATGATGTGGTACACAATTCTCAACGTATATTTTGCTATCTCTCAGGCACCCCGTTTTCACCCATTTAGCCCCGCTTTGGCTTTTTGTTTAAAAGGCATTCTATTGTTATAATTGAACAAAAACTTTCTACGACTAAAACCGTAGCCAAAAGCACAGAAGAATACTTTGATACATTCATCTACTTTTTGTTAGCATTATGTACAGTCAACTTTAGCTGTTTGAAAGTTAAATGCGCGTACATAAGTATGTACTATACATCATTAGAAATATTGTACAACATTGGTTATATGTTTATTATTCGTGAAAGAGCGGGAACTGTCACGGACGATATGCGATCTTTTTGAAAATGCCATAAACTTGGTCGGTAATATGGTCAGTATTAAGGTTTTTTTTTACCATATTAATTAAAATGAAGCCTTCTACGTGAGTTCGAATGGATTTTAAAGACAAGCATCTGAGCAGTGTTGGCCTAGTGGTATCATCCCTGAGGTCGAAGGTTTGAACACCGGCTGTGCACCAATGGAAGTTTTGTCTATGCGCTCATTTAACACTTGCTCGTACGGTGAAGGAAAACATCGGGGGAAAACCATGATGCCTTAGACCCAAAACGTCGACGGCGTATGTGAGGCACAGAAGGCTGATCACCTGTTTGTCTATTAGAAAAACAAATGATCACGAAACAGAATTTATCGTTTATGGTTAAATAGTTAGACTAGATTATATAAAGTAGTTCATTAATGTTAAAATATTTATTTCGTTGGTAAGTAAATAGCCTTGGACACCATGGCCTACATTGCCAAAAGAGCGCAGGTCGTTTGTTCTATTTTTTTCTATTAAGTATTTTTAATTTACATATATAATATATATATAAATAAAGAATATATGTATAAATATTTAGGTATAATAATTACAGTAGGATGTATTTTTTAATTACTCGAGCTTATATGAATGATGTTAAAGTTTACACAAATTCGCGTAGTAAATTCTCTGTATGAAATATTCTCTTAGATCTTTAACTATTTTCTATACGAAGCTTGTTAAGTTTGAAATACCTTCCTTTTAGATATTATTACTCTACATACTTAGAGTGCATTAGGGATATACATCTCTAATGTACTCTAAGGAAGCGTAATAAATATAAAATTTCTCAAACAAACTATATAATTTTGCTAATAAAACGTAATAGGCTTTTCATGCAAATATCATCATTTAATATTTTGTGAACCTCGTGGTATAGTTAATTCAAATACATCTCAGAAACATTTAGCTTCCCATACCTAGATTTTACCATTCTAAGTGGATATAAAGTTGTTTATGGCTATTTCGACTCGAAACAAAAAGTGTTTTTTTCCTTCTCGCACAGTATACAGTTGTATGTACATTGTATATTATATATAGTTGTTATTAATGTGCATTCAAAAGTTAATTTCTTAAGTTACCGCTTATTTCCATTGTAATTGATATATATATTTTGAATAAAAAAAGGTCTTTGAAGATATGTTTGAGTACACGAAAAATATCAAGTAAATTATAATAATCTGTGCATGCTAAGTATGCTTTAGGCCTTTGATATAATATTGTCTATAAGTGTCGCCACTTTAACTCCTCACTTTATAATTTGATAGTGAAGAAATTTACGTATTAATTCAAAATAAATGAAGTATTGTGGTTTTAATCCTACGGTATGTTTGCGCTGCCCTCCCTTACATTTTAGAGATCACATTTCTAGCTATATATTACACATGTATAACGTGACATCAAATAAACATGTTTAATTTAGTCTTGTTATAAAATATCGTGTTGCGCTCCGGTGAGTCCCAAAGGAAATGCGCCATGTTTGATTTTGTTAAGCTGAGTTGAAATTTGTTTTGTGAACCAGTGATGTAATTAACCTAAAATATTTTAACTAATTTTATAAAAACCGACTGTAGTAGTCAGTTCTTAACTATTTGTCGGATTTTATTCGGAAATGGGAAATAGTTGACATATTTGTTTTAAGAAAATATACATATTGTATCGCAATAAGTTTAAACATTTCATTACTCATTATTAAGAGATTGTGTAATAAATCGTTTTTCGGACCTGCAGCGTTTTTCTTTGAAACAATCAAGATGAAAGATGACCCGAACAGGTGGTACAGATTAACCTCAATAATCCCAGAGGAGCATTCGAGTACAAAACCCTTTCGTAATTATCGCTTCAGGATTAAGCTTTATAAATGATATCAGAGTCGTGCTCAGAAATATTAGTTGCTCATTTCATTTTCTTTAATGTCAGCTTTGCCTAAGCTCGCTTTAAGTATTCAAAATCAAGTCGTTTTGTATACTTCAATGAAGTGCTTTGGGAACGGCAAAGTCAAAGAAAATTTACATCTGTTTAACGATAGATTGAAGGTATTTGGGACGACACGGAGATATGAGAAAAATGTATTGAAAACCAATGAAAGTGGATTTAAAGGAATAGGAAATATTTATTGACTTTAGTGTGATAATAATCAATGGAACTATAATTACTGCGTACTGTTTGTCACTCCTATATATCAAAACATCAATTACGTTCTTAACTGTATAAGAAACGATATTACTATGCTTAATATAATTAACTTTAAAAAATGTCAATAAAAGCCATAGAAGACTTCACGTTCGTTTGACAATACAATATTTCTGGGTACAACTATGTAAACTTATCTACGTCAACACTTAGCTTAGACTATCTTGCGGCACGTCTAAATACAAAAAAAATACGCACATATGGTTCAAAGCTTTTTAATTTTTAATATTTTATAACGATATGTAATAGTACAATTAAAGACCCAAATAAAAATATTTCCTCGGGGGTTGAATGTTACTGTTAAACAGTTAAATTGTAAAATTTTTGTAACTTATAAATAACAAATTATTTGAAGAGCGGATGTGATTTCAAAATTCGTTGAAAATTGTTCGCTGAAAGCAACTCTGTTTAATTCGTTATTCGTTAACGATAATTAAAGATGATTAATTACTCACTCAGCATTACGTTATTATAAGAGTTAGAAGCTTTTATAGAGCCCTGAGTCAGCTTCTTGAATAATTTCACACTATGAAGAAATTTCTTTGTAATTTATTCTAATTACTAGAACTAAGTGTCTACTTCTATACGTGAAGTGTTTTCGCCTAGTGACTTTAGCTTGCGATGTCAACCTTAGTAACGTTTGCACGAATATACCAATAGACACATTCATTACAATGTATTTTTAGGTATAACGCTAGATAAATTTTGTAGTTGGAAAGCACATATTGAAAATTACAGAACAAAATAGACAGCTTCGTTTTTGTGTTAGCTGCTTATCATGCATATGTTTCATCTATACTTATGGAATTATAGTTTGGGGAAATTCAGTCGAAGTAAATAGGGTATTTAAGGCTCAAAAGAAATGTATTAGAGCAATTTATGGAGCAAACTGTCTTGAAAGTTGCGTACCTTCATTTAAAAAGCTCAAAATGTTATCTCTTCCATGTATTTATATTTTAGAAATATCCTTATTTGTGCAGAAACATACATGTTTTTAAGTCGAAGTAAGAAGTAGACATGGGGAGAAATTGGCTGTGCCAAAAATCAACCTGGAACTGTTTAGAAAAAAACAACCTTTTGTATGGCAATTAAGGTTTACAATTAATTACCAAAAAAATTAAAGGATCTTCCGACTAGAGTCAAAAGCGTTAAAAGAGTTAAAAAGCGACTTGGTGTATTACTTTTGGAAAAAATGTACGATTCTATAAATGATTATTTTCGTGAGACACTGTAGTTGATATAAATTTAATAAAGTATGATATGACATGTACGATACAAATAATATAAGAAATGACTTTGACTAATAATGTAAAATTCCTTGAGACAAATTTGCGCGCCATTGTGTGTGGCAGAATATGTGAACTTACGATTGTACCACCTTACACATTTTTGTACCATATTCTTGCAATAAATAAATTATCTTTATTATTATTAATGAAGAAATACATCGTGAAGAAAGTAGCATGTCTTAGGGCGATATTCAAAAACGAAGCGCTAAATCTGACTATACTTATTTAACAAACGACATGTTAAATAAGTAATGAATTTTCAGATAAGTACATTGTGCTTAGTCTGTTTTCTGAATGCGTGAGTGTACGTTTGTGCTGACAACTAAAATTATATTCACGTAAACAAATACTTGATCTCGGCGCAATCACCTCGACGTCCGCCGTTCCACAAATGAGCGTTTTTCAAGGCAGTTTTTGCCGCGCACCACCACTATGTGGAACCAGCTTCCCACTGAAGTATTCCCGAACCAATTGAACTTAGGGTCCTTCAAGAAAAGAGCGTAACAATTCTTAAAATTGGTTAGCCCTCTGGCATTGAGAGTGTCCATAGGCGGCGGTATCACTTAACATCGGGTGAGCCTCCTGCCAGTTTGCTCCCTGTTCTATAAAAAAAACTGACCTTTACCTCAAATGAAAATAATTAATTGTTGTTACAGAGATATGCATGCAGCTGTGTGTGGTGGAAGACATGGTCTATGCGACGCAATGCGGCCGGCCAGTGGAGCTGAATTACTGAGATACTTAAGAAAAGTTAATTTCACTGGTAAAAACTATAAACCAACTGTTGGCTAAACGAAAAGGCTGTACATTTTGTTCACTCAGACTTTCTTAGTTCTATAAGCGTGGCGATTTCCTAAATCGTCGGAGTTACGCCTCGAGAGTATAGCCAGACGTAGGCACTCTCTTCAACTGTAAACTTTGCATTCATTCGTTACATAGTAAATAACTTTGCATTATTTCGCTTATATTCCTTTGTGGTACGCGAGTGGTTAATATAGAGAAAAACTAAAATCCTATTTATTTAGAGCACCTTGATGACCCAGGCACCGTACACCAACTACAAATCAACTAGCAACGAAAAGAAAAGCGAAAAGAAGTAGAATAAAAATAACAATATTCGATACTGGAAAGATGTAGTATGTTTGTTAAGGACAAACTCAAAAAGGACTTGATCGATTTCCAAATTTCTCAATTAAATTCTACAGTAGTAACATAAGCAATATTTATTTCTAATATATTTAAAACAAATATTTTTGTAGTACGAAGCCGGGATTTTGACGTATTTAATAATTATAAATTGTATCTTAAACCTTAATTAAAATTGAATACTTCGATGTAAAAAAATATCAAAGACCGAAAGACTATTATCGTTTAATATATTTCGTATCATAAAATAAAGGTTAAAAAGTTTTTTCTTGTGTGTACAGGTTTGAGTGGTGATGAATTCCACTTCGATGCAAACGGTGATGGTCCAGCCCGCTACAACATCCTGCACTTCAAGCAGGTCACTCGAGGAGTCTATGACTGGGTGAAGGTGGGACAGTACCTCGATGGTGAACTACAATTGCATATAAATGGTAAACACATAGTTATAAAATATCAAATCAAATATTCAATCAATCAAAAAAAATTTTGCGTAAAATAAATAGGCCATAAATTGAGATAGTTCTTATTATAGCTATTATTAAATTCTTTTATAACCCACGGTGATTCTACGTTCAATCTTCGGCTATACACCAACGGTTTTTTATGTGCGCGAATTAATTGCTCTTACGGTCATTTGCTGCTTTTATATCGAGTATTTCAAAAATTTTCGTCCCAAAAATATATACTCACTTGCCAAAGCATAGGAAAAAAAGTATACGTATTTATTCAAATATTGTCAAATGATCATGGTCAAAAGATAAAAAAAAAAGCCGGCAGAAGTGAAAACTTGAATATTAACGTTGCGCATTTTTGATATTTTGGAATGTTTAGGGAATAATTTTGCACGAAATGCTTTAATTATCACTATAAAAGTACTATCATTTATGTGGTAGAATACAATATTTATTTAAATACGCCGCGCCTGCTGTCTACTCTCCATCCGTCTTACGAATTTTCGATCAGTTCACGTATCCTGTCGCGAGTTTAAAATTTTTTACCCATTCCAAAAAAAGTGTACAACGCCGCTAAAGAAGTTTTCACTTCAAAAACATTGATTAATTCTTATAAAATTCTTAAAATTACAAATTATATATATACAGGATCACCTGTACTGTGTAAATTTAACCTGTCCACTTCCCGTGATGAGCATAAACCAACACAAAGTTATATAGATATAACTAAGTTATAAGTTCTGTCGTTAAACCCAATCGATGCCACCTGAAAGAGCGTCCACGCTTTCCAGTCACGATTCACGTAACTCCCCAAATTGAGTTTGACTCAAATCCCTTTACAGAGGTTTTTAATTATTGATCGTACGCTTCCAGAATTTTGGTGGCCTCTTCCTCTTACGGGTTAGCTGAAAATATTGAAATTATTTTCCCAAACGCATATAGTAATTAATACTACCTCTAAGGACCCTAATAAAATAAAGTGCTATAGCAAGGTCCCTATTTAACATACCTCTGTTTGTATCCTACCATACCCAAGACAAACAAATATATTACAAAAATTCATTCCCTAATACCCTAAAAAAAGTATAGCTATTGAGATTTTTGCCTTTGACACTGCTGGAATAACCAAAATACAATACGAGTGAAGAATAAAATCATGAATTTAAACATTAAACAAAAACTTGTCTCATTAAAATATCTAATGGCTATTCAAATTCTTGACACCACGGGCCTAGTGCGAAGTCTGAAAAGGACAAAACCATTTGAATTAATGTTATTAGTGCACGTTAGTCTTAAGTGCTAAAGAGTGGTAAGTGAATAATAGAACAGTGTCTTCCCTTTAATAGAGACTATAAGTAGTGTTATTGGACACTTTCTCATGTTTAATATCCTTATTAGTAAATTAGGTTAGATCTAAACTACTTATATGTCTTAAGTTAGGCTAGATCGTAATGTTCCGTGATGTCTTAGTAAAGACACATGTACTAAAAAAATATCGATTATTTTCAGAATAATAATAACCGTATATATGACCGAATTATCACTAATTATTTATCCTATGTGATGGTAACGGTATAATTGAACTAAACTTTGTTACACATGGTTCTGGCTTGTGAATATTCTGCAAATACTCGCCTGGTGTGAATGAAATTTCCACACGATGTTTGACTAAATTAAGCTTCTACATTTATCTACAGAATGCGGGACTTTTATCTGATTATATTAATTTAGATCTGTCTGACTAAAGAATATAACTTATGGTGTTTGAAATGTTTAGTTGTATTTAAAAATATATTACATTCAAAAAGGAATTTCCATAATCTACACTTTACGAGCACATATATTTCCAGCGATCCAATTTAAATGGGGCGAGCGGAAACCGCCTGAGTCGGTATGCAGTGCGGAGTGTGAGCTGGGTCAAGCCAAGCAGTACGTGGAGGGAGAAAGCTGCTGCTGGCACTGCTTCAACTGCACGCAGTATGAGGTACCATATTATCTTTCTCACGCTGTTTAAAAGCAAGCTTGTATGATTAGAAAAGCAATATAATTATTCAAAAAAATAACTTTTTTGACATATAATTGTAAATATCTATACAAATATGTTATTTTAATCTTAAAAATTGGATATGTACTTAACATTATTAAATTACAATTGTTTAAAATAAACTTAGAAATCGGAACATGATTTATACCGAATTTTTCTTCATAGATACGATCACCATTTGTGGAGACGGCCTGTATGGTCTGTCCTCGTGGGACTCTCCCAGACGTGACCAGGACAAACTGCAGGCCCATACCGGAAGTATACCTACGACCGGACTCTGCCTGGGCCATTGGTGCAATGTCTTTTTCTTCGGTCGGAATTCTATTGACTGCGTTAGTATATACTACGTATATATTTACTTACCTGTATACTTGATCTGTAATGTGGACTACATTACAGATCAAAAATTCAAAGACAATAAGCCTTATTATACATTTGTATTGTCTTTGCAGCTCCCGAAGTTCCAGTGCCACTTCCTCAGACCATATAAATATCATACATTTACATACATTACGTTGTTACTGCCTTCTTTAATAAATTCGTTAATTTATAGGACAGATTGATTGAATTAGATACCTATACTAACGAAAATTACAGTGCGTAGTTCTTAATATGGTCGTGTATTTTATTAAATCAAGAAAGGCGTAGTGTTGGCCTCGTGGCGTGAATAAAATAAAAAAGAAATTAGGAAAGAACAATCGTTAATTACTATTTTTTGTTATTATCCCATGTTTCATAATATGTCACTAGAGAAAAATGGAGGTCCCTTTTCTAATATTTCATTACATTTTAATTTTTTAAATAAAATAAAAGTTTGTAAATAAAATATGTAATATGTAAATACTATCTGGGTTTTATTTAAAAACACATGAATATATTTTCGTTCAGTTCTAACTAGCAAGTTTTCCGTTGGCGTTGCCGATTTTCCCGGAACTTTTTATACCAAAATAACTTTTATCGTACAATTCACTAGAAAAAATCTATTTATTACAGACTTCTTTACGCGCGAATAAAAATTTACAACGTTAGGCTTTGTTTCAATAGAATTCAAGCGGACCGTGTTATTAGAATTTTATTTACACTTTTTTCACAATCAATTTCAACAAAATAATTTTTAGTTATGTAAAAAAATTGATGTCAGAATTTTTTGATAAACCTATCAAATTCCTCATATCATTATTTTATTAGTACCTTTTAAAGGTCTTACAAATGGCATAGGGAGCCGGTATTTTTATTTAAAGTCGACAATGAATGTTTACAATATTTTAATTAATGATTTTAGTTAGATAACAGAACAAGTCTAATTAGTTCTTTATTATTTCGACAAAAGGTCTCGTATGGTCTATTAGTAAATAAAAAAAGTTTAATTGAAGGTAGGCATGATCGCTATTTATTCTCTTTTTTTATTGCACAGCCTTAATATTATAATTTAACTTTAGATCATATTGTCTACTTGTCTTAAAACGGAACGGTTATGCATAGTTTCCTTAATATCCATAGCGCTATCTTTCAAAAGAAACCGCAGGCCCGTCAAATCCTCGCCACCTAAAGAGTGCCCAAGCGTACAAGCAGGAGTCCATGCGTTCAAAAGAAGGGATGGTGATCCATCTCTGCAATTGTTGGTGGCGCCTTGGGGTTTTAGTGGGTATGCACATTCGCGAGTCCCACATAACCCTCCCGCACTAAGCATTCGCACCTCGGTAGAGTATGCGCAATGTATTTCCCCAAGTAAAAAAAAATCCATAGCGCTGATGACCTTGGGATCACGCGGTACAAAAACTCAACGTCAAAATGGATACTACAGAGTACGGCTGCTGATTTAATATAGATTATTGCGTGGGTTAATAATTTGTCGAGTTTGACGTTAACAACCAACTACCAGATTAAGTTCTTCGTAATTAGGAATCCGGCTCAAGTAATTAATATTTAGGATTAATTATAAGCGAGAGTAAATATTATTTTGTAATCTTTAGAAAATAATCTTTGCATTTTGAAATCTCTCCAAGTTCATTCATAAATGAGTGATCTAAAATTATTTTATTTGAAAGTGGCCTGTACTGTATTTTGAATTATGTACGGCATGATTCCAATACTTTTAATTATGCAAGTTTAATATATATTTATTTATTACCAACTATTTTAACAGTTATACCAATGCGATGATGTATCTTAACAATTATTTAAAAAAAAACATTAGAAAACGAATAGTCGACTTAGGGGTTCTTCAAGAAAACAGTGTACCAATTCAAAAAAAGGTAAGAAGCCGGTTTTAAAGGGCCGGCAACGCACTCGCGAGCCAATAGTAGGTACGTCTTATTATCCCAACGATAAACAATTGAATGTGTCTCACTCTTATGTCAATTTAAAAATAAGAGTGACAAAAGACGTAAGGAAATTAAAAATTATCTCATTCCTACTGGTTAATTTTGCAGGTTTGTTTGCGGTGTTTGGGTCCGGCATAGTTCAACTCCAGTTGTTCGTGCGAGTGGGAGAGAGCTATCATACGTCCTGCTCGCTGGAATCCTCATGTGCTACTTGGTCACCTTCGCTCTGGTCTTTCGACCCACGGATATACTTTGTTCTATACAACGGTATGTGATGATGTATATGTATGGTCCTCTTATATATGTTAAAATCGTATATGTCATCGCTTTTGACCACCACTTTAGCCTATATCGCTAATAGCGCTATTTCTCGACTGTAAATATCACCCTAAGTTTATAAGGCTATTAAAACCGTGTGTGAAAAATACAGCCAAGATGTTTGATGTTTAACTACAAATTATGTACCTTCCATAACATGTTTTATATATATTATAACGAATACATACATAGACAAACTATTTCACGTGATTCTATTGAAGAATATAAAGAGCTCATTCGTACATTCGCTTCAATGACAACTGTGTTTCAATGAATGGAATCCATTCGGATAAGAATTATTAATAAAGACCTATTCATGTTCTATGAAAATAGCCTGTGTTAGTTTTCCTAAGTAGGTCGATTTAACATTTGGTTAAAAAAATATTATAATTTTTTTTTTATTACATAATAATGGATCTTCTTGGCCTATATAATATAGCTAGCATATTAAATTATCGTATTAATTACAGTACCAACTAAAACATTTTTTTACATGAAACAACATAGTATTCAACGTTTTTATTTTCATGATATCTTATTTATTATGCCAATTGCACGTCGCGTTCAGACAGTAGATTTAATTTTGTAATTTAGTCTTCTTTGCTCATAATGTATGTAATAGTAATGTAATTTTAAAGCTTTCGGCTTCGGCAAGTTGACCAAACTCGCTATATTTAGATACTATAATAAAATCAAATGGTTTTTATTATTTTCATATTGTCACCCGTTAAAGGATTAGCCGTTAGCATTTTGACTCTGTGCATTTGCTTTTTGAAGTGTTTAAATTTAGAATTTGTTGATGTTTATTGTATTATTGCGTCTTCCCGTGCTTGCATTGCAAATAAAATAAAAACCAAAGACAATTAAAGTAGTAGTAACAAACTGACATTCGGAGAAATCTATAAGAGGAAGTTACCTTTCAGAATATTTTATGTTTATGCTGTTTCGAATGCCAACTGACCGTTCTCAAAGCTGCGAGGCGGTTAATCCGATTTCCTGTTAGGAACCTCATATATATAAGTTGTACAAATAGTAGTAAATCGTAATCTGTTTCAGATTCGGCACTGGTTTTTGCTTCACCGTAGTATATGCAGCACTTCTGACGAAGACCAACAGAATATCTCGTATTTTTAACGCAAGTAAACACTCTGCGAAAAGACCTATCCTTATCTCTCCCAGCTCTCAACTTGCTATATGTACTGCTCTTATATCTATACAGGTAAGTAAATCTTATATGATACAAAGTTACTTATAATTAAAACATCATACAGTTTCCTTTTATGCACAGAAAATTGCTACTAAAATTATACGCGCGAAATTTTCAGTCACAACATAGATGAGATATTGCCAAATATTACCATTTTTGTATAATATTTAAATCCATTAAATCTAAATCAATTCCGCTATTAAAGCGTGAAAGTAGTAAAACTGAACAAGATGTGGTTATAATGTTATTTTAAACTCGAGCGAAACCATTATGACTTTAGTCTGTTGACAAAACTTGGTTTCGCGCCAAAATCGAACATTGTGGCGTGTCTACGTTCACAGATTAATTTAACACAATTTGTCATTCCTTATATCTCTGTTTCTATAATTTCTGAATAGCTTGGCTAGTAATGGTCATTCCTCAACAAAATAGTATGTCGGATGTCGTGATAAATCCACGTTAGAATTATATCTTAAAATTAATTCAATATTATTATTTTAATACACTTGCTGGTCTTAGACATTAGAACCGAGTTAAAAGAGACTGGTCAGAGATTATAGACCAGAGGAGTTCCGATTATGTTAGTATTTTTCAACGTCAATTAATTTTTTTGTTTTCTATAAATTTTGTTAACATCATTGCTTTTTGGAAAACACATATCCAGTAACCATTAAAATCAATAAAGAAACGGCAATAAATTAAATAAAGCGGTTACCCTAACTTCTACCTAACCTACCCATTGGTTCTCTAATCGATTTCTCATCAATCTTCGCTTAAAAATAATTAATCTTTCTTTGTTTAAAATACGGGTTCAGACTTACCTATAATTTGTTAGAACCAGCTTTAAAAGGGTTTTGAGACTTCTTTTTTTAACAGTGAATGATTATTCTCCTAATCCTTTTTCGCATTTTGTTCATTATCCGTTTTTAATGTGCTTTTCCAGGTTACGATCCGAATGTGAAAAACAATTTAATGGGTCACACTTATTTTTACAATTAAAAAAACATATCCGAATTAATTTATTGCTCTAATTGCCCCGAAAAATAAAGTTTCTGAAATTACGTTTAAATTCTTACTTGAACACAGCAATAGAACGAATGTTTGTTTAATTGTATAATAGACTTACATAACCAATGAGATCTATTTTAATTATTGTCTTGAATTAACTTTTTCTTTTGTGTTGTATTATAAAACAAAGATTTGCTTTTTATTAGCAACCCAAAATTCTTTTGTTTAAAGTTACTCAAACTCAAAATATCTTTATTCGTGTAGGTAAACAAGTACATTTATGAATTGTCAGAAAGAAGTTAAATTAATTGTAAATTTACATTTACTACCAGTTCGCAAGTCAAGGGCGTAGAGCGGGTAAGAAGAACTGGCAAGAAACTTTCCCCCACTCTTTTTAATCGCCAAGTATTTTCATACAAATTGTTTGAACTGGAGCAAATCAATCCCAAGGATTAGGATCATTTAAGTATTCCTCAAATTTATAAAAAGCTTTATTGATTAATTTTCGTTTATCGATAAAAAATTCTTTAAATTATAATAATAATAAAAACTTTATTTATGAAAAATTGGTTGTGACAAATGTCATCTAACACAAGGCCTCCCTAATGTGGGGATTACACTAGGGAGGCCCTGTGTTGTGAGTAACTAAAATTATGAGTTTTAATATTTAAAATTTTACCATTCCTCCTTTACGACGAACTAAAACAACTAAACGAATATTGCAATAAATGGTTAACCTTAAGATTAGTTTACGGCGCTATAAAGTAAGCTTTTAACGAGATAGACAAACTGCTATTATATCTTTAAATTAGTTTTGCGGGTCAGTTATCTCTAGTAATACGCTCGAGGGCCTTATCTCGTTTATGAGCAGTTAGGAATGATGTTCGTTACTTTTATTAAGCTTTTGTATGGACTAGGTTTATAAGACAGTTCCTCATAGACTGAGTGGACTTTTAATTGAGTAAAAATACTAGGATTTTATGTTAAACTATAATTGCATATACCTTAAATAGGCTACTTTATACTGAAAGTAACTAAAAGAATTGTATAGATGTGGTAAGTAAAAATATTTATACCACAAATTGATAGAAAACTACTACTAGACTATTGATTTATCAGCCGTACTTTGATTTATATTATATGAACTGATCTATAATTATTAACCAATTTTACATACTATATTTTTCCTCTATGTATATGTGTAAGCCATAAGCACTCCAAATATTATCGACAGGGCAATTAATAGATACTTGCGTAAAACAGTCGCGGTGAGATTATTCATTGTTTGATTAAGAAATTAAACGATGTTTTAAAATTTGCTTAGATTGTCAGTTGTTTATACTGTCATAACATTTTTAGCTTATTATTGATAGGCGATAAAGTTTGGAGCCTCAACAAGAAATACATAATTTCTACCATATTATTTTGACAAAATTATTTATTTCTTAGGTTCTGATCGTGGTCGTTTGGATGATAGTAGCTCCGGCCCGAGCGATGTATCACTATCCAACACGGGAAGACAATATGCTGGTGTGCGACTCATATGTGGACGCATCATACATGATCGCCTTCTTCTACCCTATCGTGCTCATCCTCGTGTGTACCGTGTATGCAGTGCTGACCAGGAAGATCCCCGAGGCATTCAACGAGAGCAAGCATATTGGTAAGTAATGAAAAACTCAATGAAATAATAGTTCTCTTACACGCACTTGAGTAAGCTAAACTTTTACTTTTCCACTGTGCTTTTTTTTATCAAAAGCTGAGCTGAGTTGATCCTTATATACGCAAAAAACACAGCTCTTTAAATTATACATGTGACATCTATTAAAATATTGTTTATAATTTCAATACCACAAGATAAATATAAAAAAAGGGTCCGTGTACTTATGTACGCGCGTAAGAAGTTATACTTCTTTGGCAATACAGTAGAACCTCGATAACGTAAACCTCGGTAACATAAAAACCTCTGTTACTTCAAAAAATACTATGTTCCCTTCCCATCACAGCCCAAAACCTCTATAACTTAAAATACGCAACCTCAATAACGTAAATAAATAATCTCTGTATAGGCCCTCAGTAACTAAAAGAAATGTTTCCACAACCTCTATAACATAAAATTGTTTGTGAATGAGTCATTTTATAAGAGTGTCAAAACAAATGGTTTCGGTATTTATTGCTTGCACGTGTTTACTAATGTATTGTTAACGTAAACAATACATTACCTATTGTTTGCTTTATCTAAATTCTTCAAAGCTTTGCGGCGGTTAGCTTTGTGACAACGACTTACTTGCATCATAAGTTAATGTGTTAATGTATTCTCCTCTCTATTTGTCATTCAAAATCAAATCGATTATAAACAGTGAATTTTTTTAAAACAAAAGAAAATCACAGCTTTTTTTAAGTAGACTAAACCTTTAGTTGTTGTTTTATTTTTATGTAATGTAAGTAATGTGAATAAATATGATTAAATATTTAATTTTCCATCCTTCTGATGCATTCAAGTAAAAATGGGAGGAAGGGTACATAGAAACATGTACATACCTCTATATTAGCCTTTACCTGACACAGAACCTTGATAACTTAAAACCTCGATAACATAAAATATTTTGTGTTTCCCTTGGACTTTATCTTATCGAGGTTCTACTGTATTAAAAATAGTTTGGCTTTGTTCCACCTCCAGTTTTTGATGTTTCACAGCGATAAGATGAAAACTCTTTTTTTGTATTCAATTTAGTGCAGTTACACTGATTCATCAATTGTTTTTTGTCTCTTTTCCTCATATTTGCTAGATAAAATCAGAAAAATTACATGTTTTGATTAAACAATGTGGTTAATTTTTTAATCAAAACATTACTCGATAATAATAATAATACATACGGATAGTTAACCTCAATTGTATTGAAGCACTTAGGAAGGTTGATGAGCACAGTTTTTTCACAAATATTAATTAGTATTGGTTTAAATATTCAATTTAAATCACTTCTGATTACAATTCAAAAAGCATCGCTAAATTTCTTTGAAAAAATAATTAAAACTCCTTTATTTGTTTAAAAGGTAAATGACAACTGTCATTATGGTCATTCAAAATTGTTGGCATACGAATTTCACGCATATTCTATTTCTTTTTACTTGTAGATTGTCTTATTCCTATCTCGCTCGCGCACGCTATAATCACACTCCTAATTTTGTGTCACGGGTGCGCGCGCATTGTAAAATTTCACTCTCATAAATTTTTCATAACGCGCCTAAAGAAGATAAATATAAAAAAATACGACTTGGGAATAATAGTATTTGATAAATTTCCTAGACGCCTAGATAGATAGTTTTGGTGACATAGATGGCACTACTAGTATTAAATAAATCCAGTGGTTTGCTAAGTTTAAACGAGGCGAAATGACGATACACGCATTGGACGCCCCGAAGAGTACGGACGAAAAAATCAAAAAGTCCACAAAATAATTTTGGATAACCGAACAGTGAAGTTGATTAAGATAGCTGAAACCCTGATGATATCAGAAGAACATGTTGGACATATCCTAGATAAATATTTGTATATGCGAAAGCTCACAATTGATCAAAAACAACGAATTGATGATTCTGAGCAGTGTTTGAAGCTAATCGTAATAAATCAGAATGCTCGCTTGACAGAAATTTTGTGCTGATAGAGGTAATCGCCGAAACTGAAGCCATTTTGAGGCTAAAAACAAAACGTACTATAAAATAATCGTATGAAAATATTTTATGACCTCTATAATCGTTGTATTGCTCTCGAATTGTATAAAAAAAATTCAGCCCACCTGTGAAACCTTTTTAACAAGTTGGAATTTCGTTTACGCTGAAGTGTGGCAATAACCACCGTAGGGCATAGATACCTGCAAGACTCAACTGCTTACCAAGATCATCCTACTTACTAAAATGAAGAAAGTATTGTTTTTTAGTATATGCGCTCCATAATATGTTAACTCAATATCTGCTACGGTAACGGTAAATACTCTTAGTCTCTCGTTACAAATGAAAAGCCTTTAATCTAAAATTAATTCTAATTTGAAACGAATGCACTGTGTGGCTCAATTTTGTAAAAAGCAAATTAAGCGCTTACAATTATTATTTTATACTTGTAAATGATTGTATCACAGAACATATTGTATTTTTCGTATAATAGCTCGTGGAAGTCCCGATGTGTGTAATAAATAGAGTCGATAAAGCGCTGAAAATTGAGGCTGTTAAAAGATAAAATGTGAAACTACAACTCTTTGTACAAAGCGTTGTAGTTAACGTAATCATTTTCATCGTGAACTCTTAGTGTTTATTTTTTGAAATATTTTCACAGGGCTGACTCGCACCGCTCCCATTGTTTAAAACCCTTTGTTTAATCTAGTTTTACTGAAAATTCGTTCATTTTTAATCTCGCTAAAACCTGATATCAATTCGCAGTTCCTTTGTAAACTTTTACTTATAAACGTGTCATAGACAGATTTGCACACCTTTTTTTATTCAAGTTTATATTATTTTTTGGTAGAATTATTTAGCCGTGTTATCTATAAGATTTCCATAAGTTTATTCGAGTAAATAAAACTTATTTAATGGACATACATGCGAATTTATTACATTACATAACTCGACGTTTAGAGGGCTTTCTTAGCAATGATTTTAGCAAGAAATACGTTTCTCTCAAAATTCAGTTTTATATCATAAACAAACGACAATCATATTATAGACATGAACGACCAATCGTGAAGTAATTTCTGGAATTAGCAAACTGATTTTCCGAATAATTTTATTCCAGGACAAAAGCCCGGGTTAGATATGATTACTATTTGATTTAACTTTTCTTCCCCGTGTCATTTAATCTTTTATAATTAGTCTTAACTAATCAGATATTAAACTAACAAGTAATGCGATTCAGAATGATCTAAATTTGCTAAACTAAGGACATTATATCCGTGACAATATTAGCTGGAATTGATATTAAATTAGAAACAGTAATTGAAAGATAATATTTATCATCGATTTACTTGTTTCTGATACCGTAATACATAATTGAATTGTAATTAAGGATTGTGGTTAAGTGTTTATCTAATCCAATTAGTAAGCAAATAAGCGGCGGATTATGTATATAATTTGCTGCTAATCTGACTTGAGTGGATCGTCAAATGTCTACATGGCAAATTGATTAACTAGCAACGCTATCAACGAAACCGTGAAATAGATACCAAAGGGCAAGTAACATAAATAAAATAATATAGATTTCATCAAAATTCGACCAAACGCTGGGCCTTATTTATCTATAGCGAAATATCCGTCACTGAAATTTTTTTCCTCAGAAAGCACTTCTGAACCAAATATCGTTACCATTGCATTACTATCGCGATTTCACACGGATTGGGAACTGATGTAACGTGTTAAGTTCGTTTCTAAAACGTAACATAGATTCTGAGATAACCTTGTTACGTTTACATAACTTTTGGGTACAGATAAAATATGGATGTAGCTATGCTCTGTGGCTAAGTCAACTGTCATTATTATTAGATGATATTTTTAAACGGGGTTCTAAAATTATGATTTCACCTTTTGAAATTAAATACCATTTGTATATTATGCTTCTGGGTAGCATAGTTATGCTCAGCTTATTATACTTTAAAAGGTTTTTGGTGGAGATATGAATGAATAACGGACGACGCGACAATATTGTATTAACCTTATACTACGATTTTTCACGTAAGTTTTCACTGTTTTTAATGAGAGGAGATATCTTTCAACTTAAAGCAGTGTTGACTTTCAACCCTGAGGTCGTAGGTTCGTTCTTTCTATCCGTCGATCCAGAGTCGACACTTAGCGCTAAGTATGACTTCTGACATTCTTTAGTGACAATTTTAAAATCTTGACCAACAACAGCATAATGAAAATCAAACTTGACGTCATAATCTAAAAATATATTTTTATTCATGATAATTTAAATGAGAACACACAGGTATACATATAGAAATGCTATAAATAATACATTTTATGCGTAACCGTTATGAATTTTGTTATGCGTAAACGATTAATATCTTTGGTCATTAATCTTGTCAAAAATATTCAGAATCAAGCAAGAAATTGATTTATTTGCGGCCCGACTTTGTCAATGGATTATCGCCGTTTTGATTTTCATAGTGATTTATTACGACCAGAAATAAACAGTTGAAAACTATATTATATAATTATATTATATAATATAGTTATATTATGCTATTATATATAGATAGGTTGTAAAAACATATTAAATTAAACACATATGTGTATGCAGCCAGACCTCTCTATCTATAAAGAATACATTTGTTCGTTATGATTTTTAAAAAGCCAATTGTAATCACGACCTTAAATTGTAATACGTATGTACATATATAATGAGACATGAATTCCAAAGCTTTCTTTAAGTTACAATCATTATAGATGAAAATAGTTTGACAAATATTTAGACTAGATAGGAGTGTATTTACGTTATAAAATACGTGAGTAAGAAAGAACTAATATAACTATGTACATGTATGTAGGCATTGGTATGGTAAAAATATATTATTTTTACTATACATTAAAATGGGAACATTCATAATATTAATCGGTATAACCGTATGTAGTAAATATCTGTTTATCAAAACTTCTCCAGCGCTGATATTGCTTTGAAATTAACTTTTTATGTTTTCTTATTGAAGTAAATTCGATACTTTGAAATAATATCTCGTTGTTGTGTTTTATCGCGAATGTTTTAAAGTTTGTTTTAAATGTTTTACGTCGTTAAAAGTCGATAAGATGCCAAGTTGCGTCGTCTGCTTTCAAAGCTTTCAGCCAACAATAAAAAGATATGAAGATTCTTCCGCTCATTTATCGAGATGGCTTAGATTACATTGTTCGAGGAGTCATCTATAGAATAGATGATCCAAAGATCGAGCTCTATAAAGGTATAAAAAATCAGACTTTAATTGTTGACCGCATAATAATATTTTCAACGCAGTGTACCCCGTGCGGTTAAGCGTGCGGGATTATTCCAATTATATTGTTACATTACGTAGCACTTACCTATTACTTATTACTTATTTTTAAATTAAAATTCTATATCTGTATGTATTAGCTTATTCAGCGTTAAAAGCTAATAACAATTAACAAGGTAGACGCGCAAAATAAAAGACATAAAGTTTGGGCTTCAGATTACTTGCTCTCATTCGTGAACATTTGTTTATTTCTAATAGTAGCTTATCAGCTTTCGAATTTTTGGGTCTAAAGCATGCCGGTTTCATTACAATGTTTTCCTTTGCGTATGATCAAGTGTTAAATACCCACACAGATATAAAAACCAATTGTGCTCGGGGATGAGAGACGCAGACTGAAGCCTAAAACGTGCTAAATATATTATACAAATTAAGCCTAACTCGTGTTCGTTTTCCAAACTATAAATAAACCAATGGTAGTAAACGTATGGAATTGTCCTCTCAAACAGTTAACCAATAAACGTTTGTCTTTCGAAATACTCGCCGAAAAGATTTTCTAAAACGACCTCTGAGCTTTCGACTTTTAGAAGTCCAATAATCTGTAAGGGTTGGCTCGACAGCGTTAGTACTTACGTCGCTTTTACGAGGGACTTGCGTCTAATTATTATCTACTACCATCTGTGGCGTGGGTTTTAGACGTTTTCATGCCTGGGTGTAAATATTTATGTAAACATTATATCTTGCTTTACCCTTTGGTACTTAGATCCCCCGAAGAGCATAGAATATATCAAATAATTTTACTAAGCAATAATAATATTTGGTTGTAGATACTTAGGCTCCTGGTGGTGTTAGAAATAATGTTATATGCTATAGGTCTTATACATAATATGCGTACATATAATTGGGAACATTTAAGTTTTGTTTTAAGCCAAGCGAACCATCTGGTTTAGGGTGCTGCTTAGGAGAATTGTAATCCACTTCTCTAATAAATTTTCGTCATGGATTAAAATTAGTTAAAAGTTGTTCTCAAAGCTTTTCAGTTTCTAAGCCAGACACGTGTATAAGACAGACTTTTACGAAATTACAGGTATATAGGATTAATATAATTATTTCATGTTTTAGGGTTTACCATGTATACGACCTGTGTGATCTGGCTGGCATTTGTGCCTCTGTACTTTGGAACTGCGAGTCACGTGCCACTGCGCATCACGAGCATGGCGGTCACCATATCTCTGAGTGCAAGTGTCACCCTCATCTGCTTGTTTTCTCCGAAAGTAAGTATTTAACTTCTTACCGGCAACTCAGTTTTATTAAGATAATGAACCATTTAAATCACTAGCGTATATAATATTCAATTTAAATAAAGTTATGACATATTATTATTTTTTAGTTTTTTGGACCACAAAATTAGGACAAACACATGATATAAATTGACATACATACAAAATTATAAAAAGCGGTGCCGTCCCTTTAACATGTGGATACGACCTGCGAAATCAAGTAGATACAAAAAACAGTGTTAATACAAACTATAAAAGAATTAAACGTTCAAATAGATCCAAGAATAAATTATCGGTACTGTGTCCCAATTCTACTCTTAGCTGAGGCTAGAGAACCATAAAAAATGTCAAAACTCTGTGCAATATCATTACGGTAGCGATTATTACGGTAAAGATTATATTTCATAAAGCATAACATATTTATGTCAATGCCAATTAATTAGTGTAGTGTGTCTAATAAAAATACTAATGAATTTTAGGCTTTCCGTTTTGATTCACGAGACTGCGTCCAATAAAGATGTATTTGCATTTTATAATGTTGTTTTGTTTTTTTTAAGTTGAAATTTGTTTGCCTACTCATGTATGTACTTTTTTGTTATGACTCAGTATGACTTTGCTGTGGAATGGAAGCCTGATTATCCATATCATAGGTTCTTACCTAGTTTGGAAACCAGTCTACCAATACCTTCTTAACTGTAATCGTATAGTTTGTTTCTTGTTATGTTTTATGGGAGAAATTAAATAATAATGATTAAAATATTGTTGTTAAATATGCACGCAATGTCATATCATTATATTGCTTATTGAACGTCATACGGAAATTAATCTCCAGAATGTCAAAAATACGCGCCAAATAAAAATATAGCCGCGTCGGCCTAGAGTCTCAACCCAGAACTCGAGCGAACAAATCCCAAATATGCGCCAAATTTCATTTGCGAGCAATTACACTTAATGGAGAAAACTAGTATTACTCAGACTAAAATAGATGATATGTAACAGGCTCAGAATAATTTCCTATATAAAAAAAAAGAGATCAATGTAACAGGGGCCCTAGTCAAGATGCCTTAACAGTAGTGTATATAGAAAGTCGAAAACTAAATTTGTATGTAAATGACAGTTGGTGTCGAAAAGATTTTTGACTTTCTACATACACTACTGTTAAGGCATCTTGACTAAGGCCCCAGATGCAATTTGAGACCAAGACCCATATAGGGTTGTAGCGCTATTAGGTTATTTCTATATAACATTAATAAATACCATCCCTTTAACATTTCAGTTATACATAATTCTCATACGGCCGGAAAGGAACGTACGTCAGAGCATCATGCCGGTGCGTTACAGCCGGAAGCCGATGGGCGCCCTTCCCCATCCGGCCGTTAAAAGTGAGTTTACGCTCTCCGTAACGACTTAAAATATACAAATGTCAAATATTTGATTAGATAGAGCTACTGAAGAAACATAAGCGTGGCCATGCTTTCGATGAAAATGATTTGGTTTCAAACTCAATGCAGTACAAATCACATACAATACGACTTACTTATACTTTCATTAAAAGGGCGAAACAATTCTTAAACACACCGCAACGCCCTTGCGTGCCTTCTAGCACTGTGATCTATGGGCAGCGGTATCACTTAACATCAGATGAATTCCCTCCCGTTATATAAAAATAAAAAAAGCCTAACCCGAGGCTATTTTTGAAATGGGTGTAATGATAAATTGGGAACTGGCAGTACCTAAATGTAAATTAAGAAGCATTTAATTTGTTTAATAGACGGTCATAATTGTACTTTATGGCTTATTTAGATAAATTATGTTTTATTATATAAATTAACATAGATCTTATTTACAGAGCCACCTTGTGCTGATAAAGAAACACAGACAGCTGCAGCCGACTTCAACAAACTAACAAACGGACAAACAGTATTACTGAAAGGCGACCAAAAAGAAGATAAGAAGAAATCAAATGTAAAAATCGCTAATTGTGATTCAGATAATAAATTAAAATCAAACGATAGATCTGAGTCCTTATAGCAACGAACCACGTCAAAATCTTTAACTGACGTATGTATTAAAAATAATATTATTCTAAGAAAGAAAAGTTGTTCTTGTAGGATACGTGAACGAAAACCTATCATTGTTTAAACTTATAGTAAAAATTATTGTATATTTTGTGTAAATATTAAAGGAAAAGACGCATAGTGATGTTGTAAATATGTTGTACAGTTTCATCAATAAATACTAATGGGGATGAGCCCTGAGCCAGGACGGAGTGAAAATTATTATTAATTGTAAATTTTAAAACTCCCTTGTGTAGGATAACTAAGAATTGTATACTGTATCCCTTATTATAGGTAATGTTTTAAAGCGTTTCATCCGTATTGTGACTGTATTGTTGGGACTGTTCACTGTTTAATAATAAATTCTTATTAATGTTATAATTTATTCAGAGGTATATAGTAAAAATTGAAACGCACAATGTGATATTACAAGAAAATAATATCACAGAGTTTTTTGGATTGCGGGTTTGTACTAATTTGTACTCACAAATTCACATCATCATCACATCTCTATATATTCTTAAAGTTATAAAATTTAAGGAATACTACATTTATGAAAAATCACGCCATATTTAAATTAAATAATAAATTTTGACAGTAAATTAATATTTGTAGTGTTATACGTAAATTTGTATTTATAAAACTATATTACATAGTACTTAAGATATATAATGCTCAAGTAATTTAAAAAGTATTTTCACTCCGTCTTTCGCTTACCCCGTTACGTATTTAATCATTTTAAGTCGTACATAATTCCTATGTATTATTAACTCAAATGAATAAACAAATTGATGTTGAAAGTGTTTTAATTTTTTATAAGTATAACTCAAAACACAATTTTTTAAAATAATAATAATTTGTTGCAAGAATATGGTACAAAAATGTATAAGGTGGTACAATCGTAAGTTCGCATATTCTGCCACAAACAATGCCGCGCAAATTTGTCTTTAAAGGAATTTTACATTTTACATTATTAGTCATATGAATAAATTCTTATATTATTTGTATCGTACGTATAAAAGCATACGATAATTGAATATATTCAATTAATCAAAGTATGTACCATTGCTATCTATGCACTTTTGCCATCTTATAGGTAGTTCATTGATTCCTTTACTAAAAAAAATCATTTGGACCGGAATCAATACGCGATTGTTTCGACTATTCGTTACGATGGTTTCGACTTCAGAGTTGAGAGCTCCATCAGGGTTGATTTTTTTACCTTGTAAGAAGTTATCCAGAAATCAAAAAAAAATGGTAATGGCGGTCTGTTGTACAGTGAGTGGTCTAGCGTTGTCGTAAAGCAGCAAAGCTTTCCCATAATGGTTTGCAGTTGCTGACAATAGATTAAAATAAATTTATAGTGAACGATCTCGGCACTAGTCCACCAAACGCTCACAACTTTTTCGGAGTCAATTTTCGCTTGGGGCACGATTTGGCTGATTCGGCTGGGTTCATCCCTTGCGATAAGCGCTTCCTATTATCGTACAGGATTCACTTTCCATCACAGCAATGATTCGATTTAAAATCCCTCATTATTGTGCCAGTTGAGTAATGTAACGCGCGTTTCTCCATTTGCTTAAATTAATTCTAAATTATTTCTTATTAATAATAAATACATAGCTGTAACATTGATTTTGGAAGAAAAGAAACTGGTCCGAAATAAATGCTATTTTTTTTCTTCTATTATTTACCTATTAAAGATTAAATGATGTGGATCCGAAATATACTTACAAAATATTATTAACACTATATTATTTATGTTGTAAAGATGTGAAATAAGTTTTAGCAAAACTTTGAAATGATTGCATCTTGAATTATTCCCTAGATTAAATGATATTATGGATATCCACTTATCAGTGATGCCATCCCACTATAACCAGAATTATATATATTTTATTATATAGGATATTTTTTTTTTTTTTTTAAATATATATGTATTTCTTTTTATTTACACAAATACAGTATTTACAATGTTCTTAACCTATAAAGTAATAATAAAAATAATTAAAGAAGAAAGAAGAAAATCAAAACAAATTTAAAAAGTTTGGTCCCTGTGGCAGTGTACCTTTAACGCTGGCAGCATTTCCTCGCTGTATTGCGAGACTTATTCTTTGAGCCAGGAAAGTGCCAGCTCTGTGGTCACCGGTACTATCTACCAGGCGCCAACTTAAATCTTTAATAAGCGCCTGTGCACTTGAACCCCACGGCCCAAGAGTCTCTACTCCAAAGGGAACAAAATTGAAGTTGGAGGAAAGACTCTTATATTTGTGCCGTTTGTTAATTTCTGCCTGTTCTGCGGCCGCGCCAGCTTTTTTGCTTGTCCGAAGGAGATGAGACGGGGCAAAGGTGTCTACACAGGTAGCATCCCATACTAAAGCCCGTCCCATTTTCCAAGGGATCAAAGACATTCCATCCGGCCGCTTGCCATCGTCTCTTGCGAGACCTGTTGGCTCCAAAATTGCTGGAACATTGACAGAGGCAAGAGGGCGGCGTATAATGTCGTTTAGCGCGGCATGGCGAGAAAAACGACCTGCACTCTTTTGGCAGTGTAGGCCATGGTGTCCAAGGCTACTTACTTCAAAACCACAGGGACACTTATGGGGAGTACATATGGGCACTCCTAAGCGGAGGCTGATGGCAATTCGAAGTGATTCAGGGTCTAAAAGGGTGCCAGTGTTTGGCGAAGGATAAGCATTAAGCCAATGTCCAGCTTCCCTAGACCCCACAGCCATCAACCTTGCACGGTCTGTTATTGGAATGTGACCTAATAACTTTTTGAATTCACATTTGCAAAGAGGATCATCCCAGCTCCTTTGAAAGTTGACGCTAGAAGGCAAACTCAAGCCTGGGTTGGATGCTATCCACGCGTTTCTTGCATCTGTTAAATCCGCAATCTCGTAGTTTGTAGAATAATATCTAAGGATTTTACCTACCAGACTGCTAGATTTGTGAGCAGATGAGAGAAACGCTGGAAGAGCTACACTTGTTATCATAAAGGATAATAATAATAATATAGGATATTTATTTTATATGATCATTGCAGGTCTATTCATTTAATTGTCTTTGATTAAAGTTTTTGTTATAAAGTAGTGTTTAAGGTATTTCACTTCGAACGTTTAATTTCCTTACAGCTTTTTCTATACGTGAAATCGTATAGAAAAAGTCTATTACGTCTATGTAGTGAAAGTTTTTATACCACTTAATACTTAAAAAAACACTTAACATAATGTGATAAATAGTTTTTCCAGCCCGGTTAAAAACTATTGGCAATGTGCGTAGACAAAAACACGTTAAAATTAATTTTATAACATTTTTACGCAATAGAATAGCGTAAAATAAATGTAAATGTAAATCCTTTATTTGCCAAGATAGTGGTACAAAATAAAAAATCGAACAACAAGAAAAATCCGCACAATCAGCCATATTTAAATAGGCAAATAAAGGCAAGTAAATGTCATAATAAGAAGTCAAGTCATTTATAAGTAATTATTGTTAAACTTATGTTCTAAATATTCGGTCACGCTATAAAAGCACCTTGACTGTAAAAACCTAATCACCTTCATTTTTAGGAAGGTGATTAAATATTCTCACAGCTATGGCGTAACAATTTTTGGAGTATAGCGCGGTGCAACATGCAGGCACCCGCAGCCGTGTTGGATCCCTCGGTATATACAAGCAAGTTTCTTTGTAAGTTTTAAATAATTGTGGATGCTTCTAGACAGTCATAACTGCTTCAAAGATATACAAACTTGGTACTGTCAGAATACCGAGTTCGGTGGTTTTGGTGGAATTGGTCTACAGCTTATAAGAGGTCCAACGCCCATGATAGCCCTAATACATTTTTTCTGAGTAATAAAAACTTTACTCACATCTACCGAATTTCCCAATAAAAGAATACCATAGCGCAAAACTGAGGCAACATAGCCGTGATAAGCAATAATTGCTGCGTGTTTTGAAGCCACTTCGCGAGTTCGACTTAAAGCAAACAAATTTATTTAGGCGCGTGCATATCGTTAAAATGTGTTGTTTCCAATTAAGATTTTGGTCTAGTGTTAAGCCTAGAAACTTGGTTGATACAACTTCTTCAATACAAAGCACCAACATAGTCCTTCCTTTGCCTATTTTAGCGCGGATTTTAAAGTGTTAAGTTCTTACTTCGAAATCATATTATTATATTTTAATACCTGTCAAGCGCCTACATTGAGCCGTGTCCATTTTTTTCATTCACACTAGACTCTATAAGATATAATCATATGATCTATATAAAAAACGTCTGTAGCCATTTCAAGTTTGACAGCAAGTGTTTATTTATAAATGTCAAGTTACATTGACTGACGTACGTCAGTCGTACCAATATTTAATAAAATTTATGAAAATAATGTCTACACTCTACATTAATATAAAGTTCATTGGATATTGCTATTTTTTATGTATTGATATCAAGCTATCTTATAATTAAATGACAATAACAGATGTTAAGGTGTGACGGAAAATCATTCATTCATCAGTCTATGAAACAGTCGGTGCCCCATCTATTTAATTTAGTTTTATTGCGTTAATTGTTTTTCAAACTATTTCTATTATGACATCTAGAGTGGATTAACGGCAAACTCATGTAACTAGTGTATGTTTTAAAGTTGAGTCTAAGGGGTAGCAGGCTGTGGTGAAGATGCCGATGAGCGCAGATGAGGTTTCGGAAACGTTCCCTATACATTGGCTTGTGTGGCACAATAATTACGAAGAGCTACGTGTTGCTTTAAACAATAAAAAGGTACGTAAAAAAATATTGGTATAATAATTTTTCATATAGTGGACATACTCTGCTTAGTATCAGATCATTGGTATAGTCTAAAAATGATCAACAATTCTATCACTAATAAATAGTTCTGTTTCGTAAACTATAGTAATGTATCACATTATTAACTATTTATTTGTAATGTTTCTTATGATATAGATGGATTAACTCCTTGGTTCTCATCACCTCTCACCTTTAGATTTAAAAAATATCATAACATTAATTTATTAATTGCATGCCAATAAAGCTTGCTCTGGGTTTGATTGATGCATACACAATAACAGGTTATACATTTCATGGATTTCAAAGCATTAAATAAATTTAACATTAATATTTTTGTTTACCTTACAAAAGAAACTTAGAATTAAAAATCCATTGCTGGACTTTTAATGCTCTACTTTATGTAGTTTGAGTCCCAATTTCCATCAAAATATTATGCTATTAAGCTTTAACAGCCACACAACTGAAAGTGTTCTAGATAATTTTTGGTGTTCTTTAATTGTAATACAATCAAAAATGTCTAAATATGACTGACATTAAGGCATGACTAATCTCATTATAGATAAGTGTGAAGCCCCACAGTGTGGGTGTATAATGGCTAATATCTGCTGTGTTAGATGAGTAGTAACTAGTGAGCCTAAATCTTATTAGATATAATCATTGGTGTGTTAGCAAAAGTACCTATGCTACATAAACAATAATTTTATTTAGTGAATCAAGAATTTTAGTTTTTTATTATTTGAATTTTATTACATTCCACAACAAATAAGGATACAAATTAACAATAAATTATAAAACATGTTATATCATAATTTAATCTCAATCTACTTCTGTCAGCTAAGCTTTTGGCTTTTTTATAATTCATTCTATTTTTATCTAAGAGTTTATCTTATGATGATCTAGTGAAGTAATAATAAAATATAATATAATTTTAATTAATATAAACATTAACTCAATTTTATTTACAGTGGAGCTCTGAGGAACTAGAGACTCTTGACCCGCGTGGACGAACACCGCTTCTATTGGCTGTGACTTTGGGTTATAATGAATGTGTGCATGCTCTACTTTCTGCTGGTGTAAATGTGTGTTGTGAGCGGGATGGATGGACAGCAGTTCAAGAAGCAACTGCAAGAGGTGATTGTGGATTATTAGCAGCAGTCCTTGCCAGGAGAGACCATGCTAGACATGCTGCCCGTGTTGCTGCATTACCAGCACTGTTGAGACGACTGAGCCTGGCACCAGACTTCTATGTTGAGATGAAGTGGGAATTTACTTCGTGGAGTATGTATTTGAAGCATAATAAATTTACGCTAAAACTAAAGATAAACTGAAACAATTTCAAAAGTATATTTTAAGTAGAAAAGTGCTTATTTCATTACTAAGCAGTAACTGTGCCCCACTATTACACCCTTTTATATTTCTATCATTGTGTGATGTTGTATAGCCTGTAACCTTTCTTGACCAATGTACAATGATACATTACAAGAAGAGTATTCATGCTAACAAACTTTTCAGCTACAAAACATTAGTGTAGATTTAATATATAAAATTATTGTGCCGTACTCCTCAGAAATGGCTCAACCGATTCTTATGAATTTTTTTATGCATATTCAGTGAGTCTGAGAATCAGCTACTATCTATCTTGCTAACCCCTAAGTGATAAAGGGTGTCCACCCCAACTTTTAATATTTTGGATATTTTTTTTAGTATGTGGAATTAATATTTAAATTAATGTTTGCCGGGTCAGCTAGTAGATATATATTAATCACAGTATTGTATTGTATTTCAAAAAAAAGAAGAGTATTGTATGTTTCATGTATTTTTTTCCACACCATTAAATTAGTACCTTCCCAGGTTTGAATCAAGCATCATATGTGTACCTGTGGGCTTAGTCATGATGCTGCTATGAAAATGCTAGTTTGTGGCCACAATTTTCTACATACACTTCTGTAAGGCATTTAGACTAAGCCCCCTGGACATTATCTGCTTGGATTATTAACTGGGAATTGACCAAGTGTCAATAAAATTTTATATGAGAGAATTAAAGTGATTTTTTTATATAAAAACATTTATATGCTATAAATTTATGTGTTGTTGTTGCTGCCATGTTTCAGTTCCACTGGTCTCCCGGATCTGTCCATTTGACACATATCGTGTATACAAACGAGGGGCCAACGTGCGAGTCGACACAACGCTACTCGGTTTCCATGACAACCAGTGGGAGCGCGGCGATCGGACTTACATCTTCTCAGGACAGGGTGACTCAGCAAAATTACTAGAGCTGGACCACATAGCTGGAACCGTATGGACTGAAAGGGTAGAAGGAAGCGTCTCTGCCGATGAATGGCCACTCCCACAAGCTTCCCATCTGAGTCATCGTCTGCGCACACCTGTTCACATTAACTACCTCGATACAGATAAGATCTGCTTTGAGCGCAGCAAAAGTGGGATTTGGGGCTGGCGTCAGGACAAAATGGAAAATGTCAACGGGTATGAGTGCAAGGTATTTAGCGCGAATAATGTGGAGATTGTCTCGAAGACACGGTGGGAACACGTGCCCCGTTCTGAGAGGAGGACTGTGCGTGCACCGCCGTTAGCAGGGCTCCTTGCGGCCGCCGATGATGAGGGTGCCCCTCCGCCGCCGCCACCAGATAGAGAAGATGTCGCAGATATGCCCGACTTAAATCCATCTTGGGAGCAATACTTCGATGAGAGTGTGGAGGAATGTGAAATTGGTCGTCCGCGAGAAATCACTTCAAAAGTGAAAAAGTTCCGCGCTACGTTATGGCTTTGCGAAGACTACCCCTTAGAGGTAAGTCCTGCTCTCGTTGGATTTATTAAACATTTCATATAAAAATGTTAATTCTAAGTATATTTAAAGAGGATTTATATACTGTACTACGTCTCTTGAGTTGTAATTCTTGAATAATAGTATTAATCTATTCTAATTCCATGCTTAAGGAGCGTTCAAGTATTACGTAACGTATTTTGGGAGGGGGGGGTCCTTTTGTAAAACGTTACGCTGCGGGGCGAGGATTAAATTACGCGTTATTGTTAATATTTTTTTCGACTTACACCACATAATAGTAACTAAAGATTCACTAGGTGGTCACGAAACATTTTACTGTACTTGGGTACAGTACTGAAAAGCGTTACGGCGACTTACGTAGTCGGTCCCAAAGTTCTGTCATAAATGGAAATAATGATAAAAACAAAAGTACTGATCAGTTTGTAATGAGTGATATATCAATTCTTAGTACATTAATTAAGGAATAAAAAAAGCATAAAAATATTCGAAATAACCTCCCTCATTTTTAATACAGGCCCTTAAGCGTCGCGGCCAGTCGTCTATCGCAGCACGCACCATATTCGTGTCGATTTCAGTCACTGGTTTTTTTAAAGATGACTTCAGATTCTCCAAATTTTCTAAATGTGAGGTTTATCACAGACCTTCCTCTCTAAGCCCTGTCATAATTTCTGGTCCAAAGGATTAAGGTCCGTACTGGAGGAAGGCCAATCCTCATGTCTAATTAAGACGATGTTTTGACGCTCAAACCAGGCTTTAGTGGTCTTGGCTTTGTATGCAGACGCAGAGTCCTGCTGGAACACGAAGTGATGTCCCGCAAATAGGGTGCTGGACATGTCTTTGACAAGGCGATACAAAACCGTCTCTTAGTACACTGTAGCACTGGTTTTGACCCCTTTTCTAAGAAAAAATTAACCTCAGTTAGCCCGTAATAGGACACTCCCAACCAAACCATTACTGATGATGGATGATGTCCATGTTGCACCCTTGGAACTTTATTTTCAGCTTCTTCAGAACTCCTAGCGTACACTGTATAATTCTGTTTATTGTACTTCTCTTCAATATCGAAAAATTTTTCGTCCGTAAAGAGGATATCACGGTGTCGGTTTTTCGCGTACCGCTTAAACAACACCCGCGATCTCTTAAGCCTTATTGCTTTTAGACGAGCATTAAGTAAGTGCCCACTCTTTTTTTGTATGCTCGTAGACCAAGATCTTCATTTAAAACCTTTTTTACTGTTTTCCTACTGACACCCATCTGCAAATCCATCAACTTCTGTTTTCGGACAGGATTTCTTACTATCCGCGCCTTGATAGCTTTGATTACTGCTGGTGTTCTTGCGGAGCGTGGCCAGCCAGTTCTTTTCTTGTCCTCAACACTGGAGACTTCAAGGTACCTATCAATAGTACCGTACACAAACCTAAGCGTTATATTCAAAGTCAATAATCTCCAAAAATTGCGTTACGTAATACTTGAACGCTCCCTTAGTCATAGTGAATGAAACATTAACATTGTACACTTTCAGTTGCAGGAACAAATAATGCCGATCCTTGACCTCATGGCATCGATATCTTCCCCGCACTTCGTGAAGCTAAAAGACTTCATACAGTTACAACTTCCATCAGGCTTCCCGGTTAAAATCGAAATACCAATCTTCCACGTGATCAATGCAAGAATTAGTTTTGGAAACATATTTGCACGCGACACGAGCGTGCGATACGTTGAATGCGTGCCCGAAGGAGATAGGTTGACGTGTCTCATAGATGACACTTGCTTCGCCATAGGAAGGGGCTACCGGGAAGCTGGGCCCGTATCAGAGGACAGAATCGCCAGCATCGCTGATGATGACGAGGAATTGCTGCATTACGCCATACAGCAAAGTCTAATGGAAGCAGGAACGCAAAGGGACCAGGTATACAGATTATGTTCTTATTTTATTTACTAGAGTATATAATATCGTTGTTGTAGAGTATTGTAATATAGTAAGAGTTGACAAACTCAATATCTTTCTCGATTTTTCTGTTTTATAGTATATCTGTGTATAAACCTCTGTTGAACCTTAAATGCTTTGAAAAACACAGACTAATGAACATACGTCAAGTGCATAATGTATTAGTGCCATTAATTCATTTCATTAAAAACTCAAAGTTTTTATAATCGAAATCAGACCATAAATAATTTTATCATTCTCATAAGTAACGTGAATAAATTAATTTAATATAATAAAATTTTTGTTTTGATTACTCGTACATAGTACAACATATAAATAAATTTGGAAAACACACTTGCTTTAAATTTCTCAATCGTTGTTTATCACAAATAATGAAAGAATGTATAATTGTACCATTGTTCAAATGTACATACATAATATATTCATGTTTGCGAGTTATATACAGTATAATTCTGGCTCGAAGGACTAAAAATGGATTCAGCCCATTAAGTTCAATTAATTCCAATTCCCTACAACTTCACCAACGCCATCATACAATAAGCCAGGACATTTTAAATGTTAAACTTTATTGTACATCAATACTAATAAAACATAACCAAAATTGCAGGTAGATGTGTGGGAAGCCCTCCGAGGAGCTCGCCCTGCCACGCCCACTCCACCTGCCCTCGTTTCCACAGTCAATGTGGATGAAGACCTGGAACAGACTATGCTGCAAAGGTTAATATTCTTTATTTTCCTATACCGTATAGTCACAAAGAAAGGTACTTTCGTATCTAATTGAAAGTTTTGTTATTAACACAGACTGAACAAAAAATGGTAAGTACAAAATCTCATTTTTATATTTGATATAGTGTTTGCAAGTCAAAATCAATATTCCCAAAGTACATAAAAATTTGCACCATCTAGTAGATTTGCTATCAAAGGACTTTTTAAGCGCGGAACCAGCCCTGAATGCCGCCGGCCGCCATATCGCCGCAAAATCTGATTTTTTTTTCGCCGCCTCCCACAGGTATGGCATTATCAGACTTCTATTTATGATCATACAGGGACTGTTGAAAAAAAAAAATTAGGCTGGTACAAATCGTTATTTGTAGTTAATTTTACGGCGGTATGGCGGCCATTTGGAACCGTCCGAAAAGTATGGCATGGTGATTTTTTTTTAATCATCGCATTCGCGTCGGTATGGCGGGCTGTAAGTCACATCGGAGAAGTATGGCATGACACTGCCGCCTCTTATTTTTTATGGACTATCGGAAAATACAAGAATTTTTGTGGAACAAATCGTTTAAAAGTCGTAAATAATCCGACGAGTTCGACTAACGCCCACGCGGTTGGGCCGCCGGTACCAGCGCAATAACCATCAAAATTATTTTTTTTAATTTCGTAATAAGACCCCTGTAGAACCGCCATACTGGTACAAATGACTAACTATTTTGTGTCACTATCTCCCGGCCTAATTGTATAAGAATGTGTATAAGGAAATCAAATCTATAATAAATTATAATACCAAAGAGCACTAAAACTTTCTGAACATCAAATTAAAAATGTTGGACTGTTAAATAATTTCCTGAACTTCGCCTGGCCATTTGAGCTGGATCCGCGTCTGTAGCGCTAGTATTCTTTGTAGAGCTATTGCGGAGTCGTTGCGGAGCGCAGCGGGGGCAGATGAGGAGCAAAAAGAGGAGAGTCCGGAAGTAGAAACTGTGGAAGGGGATGACGAGCTTAAAGCGGCTCTAGCGCTGTCAGCAGCGGAACATGAAGCGAGACGAGCGCAAATAAGGGACGAACAGAAGGCTTTAGACGAAGTGTTACGATTATCGATGAACGATAAATAGTTGTAAGTATTTCAGTGCTACCAGATAATAATTTATAAAATACCGGGTTTTAAGCTGCTAAACTACTCATAATTAATGTAATTAGGTGTGCCTAGTTGTTAAGCGTAGAAGAATAGAAAGAAAAGAAAGCATAGAATTCTGTGGAAAAATATGGTAATAGATCACTGCTGTAGTCAAATACAGAGTAAAAATATGGTTTTTGCCGTAATTATTTTCTGGTATCACTAAACTTATGACACTTTATAATAGCTAGTTTATTTTTCCTTATTCCTAAGGCTGAATATATATTTTAGTATCCTTGAACTTACTGTGTTTAACATTTTCCGCTTGTGAGAACAATTATTCAGCGTAAATACATTTCAAATTTAAATAATTATAAAACGTTGACTAAGGTAAGTTTAACCATACCATTACTAATGTATAGACATAACATAACTTCGTTACCATAGTGGTATTGACGGCTCATTGGTCTAATGGTTGGTACCACTGACTGCGAATGCATGGGTCCCGGGTTCAATCCCCGGCTGAGACAAACATCGATGGGATGAGCATTTGGTGTTGTGCTTAGGTCTTGGGTGTTTAAATATGTATTTATATGTCTATCTATCTATAATTTTTTTTTTTTTTTTTAAGGCAATTCACATTTTCACATTCGCAATTATATATAATATGTATGTATATCCGTTGCGTAGTACCCATAACACAAGCTTCACCAGCTTAACATAGGACTAGGTCAATTGGTGTGAATTAAACGTAATTAAACGTTTTGTAAGACCGTAGGTGGTTTTTAATATATTCTTATGTAAAATATCCGATCTTAGCTTTTCCTGATAGTTATTCTAAAACTTGATTACAATTTTTGCAAAAGCTCCACCTGGAAGTAATATATGCAACTAACCTATTTTAATGTAAATTATGTGTTTTAGATATAATTGAATCTTGAATACAGTTGGGGTGTAACAAAGTTTAAAACCCGGTCTTGGGTCCGAGTCTCTTAGATTTCTTTTTACATAAATATTGTATTATGGGGTCAATTTTTTTTAAGGATATATATGATATTTCCAGCCGGAAATTCAAGCTGTCGCGGCGGTAAAGAACATCGTCTGAAGCTATGAATCAAACGGTCAGTATTCCAATAAATATCTCATTTTGAGTATTTGACTTAAATATTTTACAATTATTTTTTACTACATTTTGACAGAGATGGTTTCACGTGAAGCGGATTTTTTTTTTATTTTGCTCATAATAAAGTTTCATAGTCCTAATATATCAACGTAATTAGCACATTGGTCGAAACTAACTTAATATCTTTGATGTAGTAATGCGCGGAACTGTGCCTGTGACGTCATTGGACCGTTACCATTAGTTAGCAAAAGCTACTAAATACTGTGTTTTTAGTATACTATAAATCAATTAACAACAGGCTCATCAGACTCAATTCGGAGGTTTTGGATTGTTTCAGAACAGTATTATCGTATTTAAGCTAGCCTAGTCTGGCCAAAAACCAGGAGATGGCAACACTGATGAAGTGATTCCCGTATAACGTATGGATATTTTTGTGGCGAGACTAGCAAAGTTTTCAAAATTCCGCTAGATCTGTTGCAAAGTTGTGAAGTTTCGACCATTAACCAAGATTTCGGAGGCATTAACAAATACATCACCGTAATAAATAATCATAAGTTAGAAAAAAAATTAATCTATGAAACTTGATACTTCACAATAATTTTGTAATAAAACCAGCAAATTATGAACAAAATCTGCATAGAATTCCTATCCGCTTCACGTAATGTCCAACGGAATAGACTTGTGTCGCATTTTATTTTAAGTAGTTATAAGTTATTTATTAAAATTCTAAGTATATTTTGGTGCGATTTTGGTGTGCTCGACCTGGCGACACGTGTTATAGTGTTTATATCGAATAGTAATATACTAAATAGTCAACACTATTGCTACTTGGTGTCATTAACCAAGTAAAAATGCAATTCAAACTTAATCGACGGTTTAATTTTGTTTTTGATCTCGTATATGACCTTTTTAGAGGAAAGGTCAAGTTTTACACCCTAAGAACACACCATTGCTTTTTATTACCATTTAATTTTTTTTTCATATACTCGATTATCCTTAATTACTTTTAAAAATCTTTGTAAATATCAATTGTATGATATCATTGCATTTTATTGTAGTTTCGGTTGTATTGGTTAGATTCAGTGTCAATTAGAGAAAATCAGGAGTGTAACAGCGCCCTCTATTGTCTATGGAAAGAACTAATTTTAATATGTCATCAGTGTAATTTCGTACTTCGTCGTGTTGTATAACTTCGGTGCTGTCTTGATTGTTGATATTTTCAATGAGATATGGAAGAAAATAGTTTTTGCATATGACTTTTTTATAAAACATTTTACAACAAGAGTCGTGATTTGAAAATGTTTTCTCACTTTTCTTCCATTGCCCACACCTCTTTAGTTTTAACGATGACTGTACATTGTTAGATTTTTATGTTAACGATGTCGCACGCGTTACGTATACGAGTTCGTATACGTTAAGCGAGCTCTTTATTTGTTTCCTAGTTTATTTAATCAGAAATAAGCATTTTATTTTTAATTGAAATGTATTGAATTTTCCTACTGTATATGAAGGGAAGGCAGGGTAAAAAACCCTGAAACCCTTTTGTTTGACCAAACACAATATTGATCTTTATCAATTGCAATTGGTTTCTACTATATTTGTGTGCGTATACTTATTGTAAATACTTATATAATATTTCTAATTAAGATGTAAAAAGCGGCAAATGCGCTAAGACTTAATCCTTCCACAAAAATATATTGTAATCAAATCGATTGTGCATAATAAATATACCTATTTATATACCAGTGTGTTTTCTTTGTATGAAATAGGGGGAAATAAGAACCAGACACGTAATTATCTATGTATTTAAAATTTAATTTTCATTACTTATATACAAATTACAACATTCACTATTATAATAGATATTAGTTGTCCTATATTTACACATGTAGTACACTTTAGAAGCGTAATTTCATTTATTCAAGTTAATAAATTACACGAGGAAACTTTTGGAATAGTGAGTAGTGACAAAGGACTTTGCCTTCGCGGGGGCGAGCGTGTACGCACGAATACTTATACACACGTACACGCGTGCACCTCATTTCGGCCGTACGCACACATGCACGCCACGAATTCGGAATAGAAAAAATGGAAATGTACACTAGAAACGTTAACACCGATAACTTGATGCGCTATACTATACAATATACATTACGGCGGTGTGTGCGTGCGTGCGGCCGCCGGAACTCGACCGCACATTCAATACTTATCTAAATAATACATAAATATTCCCAAAAAAATTAACATGAACAATATTATTATTATAATCGATAACTTAAAACATAACGAAAATAAATATTTATTTATTTGCAATAGTAGAATCGTTCCTGGGAGATGGGCGAAGAGCGCCCTCTCGATGGGGTAGTCAGTCTCTACACACTACACTTACTCTCAGTACACTTTAGACGTTATATGAAAAATTATTATTACGACTACACCACAGTTTGGCCTTTCCGAAAACTTTACCTCGTCGGAGACCGGGCTAAAAAATCTACGAGATGTCATAGCGTCGCTATTTGAACGAGCAGTTAAATTCTCTTCTGTTGAAAGTAAGATTATATTATATGGACAGTTCATAGCCATGACGATCTAGAATTTAGAATCATGCCCCCAACTTTGCAGAATTACAATGCGATAGTGACAATATTTGTGCAAGTTCGTTGTTGGCATTTCATTTGGCTTGTAATCTTGGAACTATATAACGCAGTAGGTAGTGTGTGAGAGATTGGGATTTGGGGGTGTAGTGTCGAGTTCGGACGGATCAGTTCGTCGAGCGGAGTTCCATTTCAACCCTCGGGAACACATGACGCCCGACGCTGACTTGTCTTCTTGGGGGGGTCAGTGCGCGGGCGGAGGAGGCCCGCGCGGGGCCCGAGGTCAGTCACCGGTTGCTGTTACCGTCGTCCAACTCCACGGACTGTTGTAGCTTTTCTGGCTGAAACGAGAAAGATCGCAATTACAATACTGTTAATTTTTAAAATTTAATTATATTCGTGTGTGCAAATCACAATTTAAATAACGTTTTTTAATGGCAGCTCTTGCAAGAGTATCTCGACTACTGAAAAGCATTCAAAGCATCGAGTGTAAAGTAATTTCAGTCTCTTAAAGAGTTTTATTTCAACAAACATTGCGGTCTGTCGCATTAGTAAAACCTTTCTAGAAAGGTATTGTATAAGAAATTTAACCATACGTCGACATTTTAAATTTATTCATATATAATTCAGCCTCTGACAGTAATAACAAACAAAACATTTTTTTTGCTTTTTCAAAGGCAAAAAATGCCCACAAGTTAAAAATATTCTCATAAATTATTTGAAATATTTCGGCATGTTAACAAAATGTAATAATAATAGGAACGTGTAGTGCCACCCCATGTGAGGGGCGGTTCGGGGTGGCACCTCCCCACACCCTGTTACACCCACTGATATTGAGTTGACAAAAATAATTATTATTTTGTTGTACATAATCATTTTTAGGTTATTATTCTGTCGTGTTTGTTAGGCTTTCCATGTTTTATTAATTAAACTAAACAATACTCTACTAATAACTCTCTTAAGAGACTAGTAAATTTAGTGAGGCTCACTTATTTGTCCTTTGACAAACAACATCTAAACGACAGCAGCTAAACAAACATCAATCAATCGTCAACTGTCAGATACCAACAACAATGTGTCAAGTTATGACTTGGCGAAATAAGGTTCTCTAAATAGGTAGTAAAGTACCATTAATCATTATGCAGAGCATACAAATTAAAACTACATTGTTCTGTCGTACCTAGTTAACACTGAAAATGTTTCTACAGTTGCCAATACTTTTATTCGAAGTAATCTCCGTTCCTCTCTACAGAGCGTCGCATTCGATGGAACCACTAAGAA